AGTCAGGACCCATAGGGATTTCACTTTCCTAGAGGAAATACTCAAACTGTTCACCATTAGCATCCAAATATTTTTCGATTCTAACAAATGATGCTTGAACTCTTCTCAGCATTTGGACAGTTATCTTGGCACATTCATCTCTTACTTTGCTCTTTAATTCTATGGTTCTGGGACATTTACCATAAAGGATCAATTTTAAATGCCCCCACAGAAAGAAGTCAAGTGGTGTGAGGTCCAATTTCCAAGAAATACCACAATTTCATACTCCTGCAGTGGTGGTTTATCCATGACAATGGCTTGGTTGTCACTGAATTATTGGGTTATTCAGAAAGTTCTGTCCGAAAATTTTGACATACTGTATTTTTCCCAATTATTTTCTTGCTTGGTCATATTTTTTCCCTTATGTGCGTGTGCTATCGTATTTTATCAAAAACTTTTGTTTTGCTCCTATCTAATTTTTTTTTTAGGTTATAATGATGTCAAACCGTGAGCACCTCCTGCACTGTTTGCTTTATGAGCACGATCTAGGAAGCTCTGCAGTAGAGGCTCATTGCCGCATATGCCAAGCTATGGGCCAGGACATCGTCAGCGAACGTACATGTCGCAGATGATTCGCCAGGTTTCGCGCGGGCGACAGGACCCTCCAAGATGAGCCGAGGTCTGGGCGGCCCTCTGAGGTCGATGACGATGAGTTGCGCAGACTGATCGAGGCTGATCCCAGAATGACCGCCCGTTCCTTGGCGGCCAGACTTGGATGTGCCAATAGCACCGTGTATAGCCACCTCCTAGCCCTGGGAAAGGTGCTTAAGCTAGGGTGTTGGGTATCCCATGCACTGTTACAAGCTGACCGTGACCGTCGTTCGGACATCTGCACGTCTTTGCTGTTGCGCTTGCGCAACTTCGAGTGGTTGCGCTACGTCATCACTGGCAACAAAAAGTGGTGCCTGTACATTAACTGTACGCGCCATGGCCAATGGGTGAGCTGGTGCTGGAGCCAGAGCCGAAACCTGATCAGCACGCGAAGAAGCTCATGTTGACGGTTTGGTGGGACGCCAAAGGCGTCATCCTCTGGAAGGTGCTGCCCCACAACCAGACTGTGACTGTGCAGTACTACTGCAACCAACTGCAGCGTCTCGATGACCAACTCACTCTGGTTCGCCCGAGGCATGGCTGTGTTCTCTTCCTCCACGATAACGCGCGGCCGCATACTACGAAGTGCACACGGGACAAGCTTCTCCAGCTGGGCTATGAGGTTCTGCCCCACCCAGCTTACAGTCCAGACATAACGCCATCAGACTACTGGCTCTTCCATGCGCTCGACCGGCACCTACACAAGAAGAGCTTCACCGATGAGAACACACTCAAGATGGAGATCGGCCACTTCTTTGACTCCCAGCCTGAGACATTCTACAGGGACGGCATCAACGCCCTGCCGGATCGCTGGCGGAGGGTTGTGGATGCCGATGGTGACTACTTAATAGAGTAAGGTGTGGTTGTTAATGAATAAACTTTGTGGAAAGAAAAGTGTGAAAAACGGACAGACCTTTCCAAACAACCCAATATGTAGACATGTCATATAATAAGCATGTGCTCCACTGGGGGGTTAATTGATTGAAATGCTTAAATTTTGAAGATCCAGTCTTAGAGAGATTAGAACTCACCACCCAGTTGGGCCACAGATTATCATTGGGCAAGCTCTCCATCCACTCACTGATGTTGTCCTTGACCTTGTCTCCTGTGAGTGGTGGCTTTAGCCCATCGATGAACTGGAAGTTAAATGGGAAGTGAGCAATTGTTCCATTTCCATAATATTTCATCACATCTGGTACTTCCCCTGTTGCTTCAGCCAACAACACCCTATGAATACATAAAGACTTCCTTAATAGAGTGATAATAGAATAATAATTCATATGTGTAAGTAATACAATCAAAGACAAACCTTTGTCGACCATCACCCATTTTCTCTGCATAGTTATCCACAAATTTTCTCCATGTCTCCATAATTGTGAAGGTCATAGGTTGATGAGCAGTCAAAGTGTGTTCAAGATAACCATACTTGTTTGGATCAGTGACTTTGGGATCACGTGAAGGTGGTTCATCTTTTCCAATCATGTCTTCAGCCTCCACCAAGTGAATGACAGCATCCAAGCGGAAACCCCCAATGCCTTTGTCCAACCAGAAGTGCATGATTTCCTGTTGGACAAACAGATATCATTAGTAAGTGCTGCTGATGTCACTTCTTGAATGCACCTGAAAGAATCTTCCAAGGTAAGAACGCTACTTGACCTTAAACTCTTCCTGAACATTTGGATTCCGCCAGTTGAGGTCTGGTTGCTCCTTGTAGAATTGATGGAGATAATACTGCTGTCTCTCTGGATGCCACTCCCATGCAGACTTTCCAAAGACACTCAGCTACACAAAAAACACAACCAGACAAGTTCAATTACCACAGCCAAACATCCAATGATCTGTGGCCACTTTTTTATAACTTGGCCCCAGGCCTCCATTTACAGACTGGTCACAGAATTCCTTCTGGAGTGAATGCACCAAGATTTAAAATGCAAAATGTTATTGATTATTAGGGGTGTACCAGAGTAACTAAACAATTGGTATCAGCCACCATCATTGATGCCATCAGCAGATTTCTGGGTTACCAATGCTGAAACTAAATCAAAGAGTCAGAAA